TCTTCATTTGATATTTTCAGTGAAATTTGAATTTTCAGACTGACAGTGTTGTGTCAATTGCATAATTATGGTTTATTAAAAAAAATCTGTATTTTCATGGGTGTCTGTTTTTTTTTACATAATCATTCAATCAAAATACATTATTTGAGTGCTCAGGGACTGTTGTACATTATAAACAGTAAGACTTTACCTTAGTAAAGTCTTACTGTTTATAATGTACAACAGTCATTAAAATCATGAAATATAAAACTGCAAACTCATTAACTTACAAGTAAGTTAATGAGTTTGCAGTTTTATATTTCATGATTTTAAATGTGATAGTGTCAGAATAAATATGAATTATAAATTATATATTAATCTGTGGAAATGTACAGAAAAGCTAGGAGAGGGCGCACTGCTCTCAGTTTGAATGCAACTTTATTGACACCGGAAGTGCGAGAGGGAACGGCACACGTGTTTTCTTTGCAGGTTTGAAGGTTAAAGAAGAAGCACCGGGTAGTTTCTTGTCGTCCGTCCACTGCAGAGGATCACCAGGGCAACGTGTTTGTGTTAAAAGCCGGGGACAGAGCAGCACTGAGGAGCAGACATGGATCCCATGAAGGCGCAGCAGCTGGCGGCGGAGCTGGAGGTGGAAATGATGTCAGACATGTACAACCGGTAAGCCAATACAAGTTAGCCATTAAGCTAGCTATAACACATTAATGCTAGCTTTATGACAGTATTAAACTGTCTTCTGGCCTTCATGCGTAGCTTTTATTAAACGTGTCGTGTTGCAGTTACAAAGGCTCACCTTAATGTTAGCCAGCTTTGACCTAGCCGCACATGAAGAGTCCCTACATGATGCTAGCTACCTAATAACTGCAGACTGACTGCAGTGCATGTGACAGATTAATTGGTACTCAGCAGAGCTCACACGCTGTAATATTACATCTAGCAACTCGTTTGGAACATGCATGCCACCATTGAAACGAACAGTTGATCGATGTTGAACGACTAAAAGTCCTATTTAAAAAAAAAAAAATCACGGAATGTATGAAACGACAGTAACACATGACCTTACATTAAGTTGACGGCATTGATCTCGTCTCAATATTGGATCTCATTTATTTGTTTCTGTCATGAACCGCAGTTTAAATGTGTAGGGCTTCAATTATGATCAAGGCAAGTGTATTTATATAGCCCCTTTCAACACAAGGCAATTCAAGGTGCTTTACAAAAATGAAAGACATTCAGACAAAGGCATTTTAAAAACAGTCATTAAAAAGAAAAGATAATAAAAGAAACATTAAAAGAAAAAATACATGAATAAAAAGTACATGATGTACAATGTAGAAGTAACAATGTAATTGCTATTGCATCTATTAATGGTCACACATTAATATTATTTCGTGTACCCTAGGTGAAGTTGTCTTGAAATATGTTTTATTTATTGTACATATATCTTAGTGATGCAACATTAGTTTACATTTTTTCCCAAAGAAAATAATAGTATTAATGATTATTATATTAAATACACAATGATACCTATTATTTTTATTATTATTAAAAGTACTACACTGCAAATACAAAGCAAGTATTTAATAGTAAAATAGCTCAATCTGTCTTTGTTATGAATCTGAAATCTAAATCAAGCTTCTCCAATTTGACGTCACCATCCCTTTTCCTAAAAAGTGTAATATTTTTAACAAGAAGAATTAGGAACGATCGCACGATAACTGCTGAACGATCAGAAATAGTCTCTGGTTGCTACGCTTTTTCTCAAGGCAAAAGCATGCAGTCACTCCTCAAGCACCAATACAAGAGTGAATCTGAAAACCCGCATACTATGTCCCCTGTAAGCAATGTACTTGGTCAAAAAAGTTGCACTCGAGATCTAAAAAAATGTTTTAGTTCCAGCAGATGGAGCTGTTTTGTTTGCCAAGTGACATTAACTATCTGCTAATATTGGTGGGACATCATATTAAGATGTTCAGGCATTATTATGTGTTTGCACACAAGCTTTAATATTTTTTTTAACGTGTTTTACAAATCTAACTGTCTCCTGACTCCCATGTATTCCCAGAATGACCAACGCCTGCCACCGGAAGTGTGTGCCACCACATTACAAGGAGGCGGAGCTGACGAAGGGGGAGTCGGTGTGCCTGGACCGCTGCGTGGCAAAATACCTAGACCTCCACGAGAAGCTGGGACGCAAACTGACAGAGCTCTCCGTCCAGGACGAGGAAATTATGAGGAAGGCAGCAGTAGGGAGCGAATAGAGACGCTGTTAAACAGAAAGAAGTAGAGCATTTTGGGGGATTTAAAAGTTACGGGATGGGGTCGCCATATCTGGTTTCTCTAAGGTGAGAGACTTGTTTTTTAATGAGCGGTTGGGGTTGGAAATCAAAAAGCATAGAACTATAAGGGTCCAGTGAGAGAAACTACTACTAGAGGATAAGGATCTGGTGGAACGACAGCAGGAGGACATCTTGAAACTTCTCCACCTGCCTCATGTACATTCAGCTTTGCCTGGTCCTTCAAAAATATCTCATGAAAATAACTGGAAAGAAGAAAAGGATATTATTTCTAAAGTCATACTTTGTGCTTGTTTTTAGCTGCTCCGAAATGAAGGGTGCTGTTTCTACTGAAGAAACTCAAGTAATTTGAAGTTTTGTGGTACCAACCGTCTGGTACTTGTGGCAGGTTAAAACAAACACTAGGAATGATTTGCATTTAGTCCCCGTTTTCCAAATCACCCTTTGAACATGGTTAAAAATTAACTTTCAAAGGGGATAAAAGTAAACGGGGGTCAAAATGTTGCTACACAACATCGTACATTGTCTGTTATGCAGACAAGGTTTTGAACAAAACCTAAAAATACAGTAATTTATACATGGATGGATCAGAACAAGCACTGAATGAATCATGTCTTTTTAAACAAGACGCTATGCATAAAGTTGACTGTCAGGGCTGGATGGTGCTTTGGTGGTGCAGACAGCTGCATCACTCCGGCTTAACGTGGACGTGTGTTGAAGATGGACTGAACTCATAATTGTCATGCTTGTGTAGACTGTATTGTGCCCTATGTGAGAGGACCATGTTTTGACTGTGATGTTTTTTTTTTGTGCTCACCACTGTGGCAGCTTTTTGCTACATATTGTTGAAGCTACACAGTGTTTTGATGTTATTAAGTACTCAAATAAAAATGTCTATTATCATAACAACACAAGTTTTGCCATGAGGGTATTTTTTCTTTTTCCTTCACATTTCTGAGCTATTGAAGTTGCCTCCTGTCTCACTACTGTTACGGTAGCACTCAGAGGGCTGGGTTTCCTAAATATGTGCCTGTACCTTTAAGACAGACCGTCAAGCAGATTGGAGTGAGGAAGTGGAGACTTTCGTTTCCTTCGCTAAACTTATTTATACCTGCACGTCGTACATGAGAAAGGGGAAGTGACAGCTGCTGAAACAAAAGCGGCCCAGGGTAGGAGGGGGTCTGTCGTCTCTATGTTGCAGGTGGAATAACGTTTCAGACCGGTGCGAGGAGCACCGCGCGAGAAACACGGTAAGTGATGTTCAAGGTGTTTGTAAAAATGAGGCTTGTCGGTAGGTAAGTATGCTAGGTGAGTTACAGCACACTTGGTATTTCAGAATAGTCTTTTTAAATAATAAACCTAAAATGTGTTGCTGACGTGTGCTGTTTGCAATGCTGCATTAGGCTACTATTACTGCAGAAGTCGCTATAGGTATGCACAACTATACCAAAGCATCGTTTGATACCAGACACTACTATAATTTAGCTCTTTGACCCACCTTTCATTATTCCACTATTACGTTCAGGATTAAAAGGAAGTCGTTACACGAGTTCTAAAGGCAATGCTGGGGGGAAAGAGCACACAACGTGGATTTTATTTAAAATCTAGATGAGGGTAGTTCAATGACCCTAAAATAAAGCTTGAAATGTCAATGCTATGTCTTGCTAACATTTTGGAGAACATGTTATGGGCTATATCCTCTTTTATACCAATGTGGTCATGTTTGTTGAGTTGCACTGAAGAATATTTCAGAACATCACTTAGAATCACGTTGCTAGATATAGTGTGTCTATTTTTGTACCTTTTATTGTCTTATTTGCACTGACGTAAAACTGCATACAATCTAGATATTAAATAAAAAGAACTGTAACATGAGGGGTCAATAGCCACAACATTAGACTTTCCACTAACTTAAAGAAAGTAAAAAACAAACGCACATAAAACAAGAATTATTTAATCAAAAAACGAATACAATTGAATTGATTTAGAAATATAACACACTATTTGTATTTGTTTTTTCTATTTCTTTAGAGGAACGTTTTATCTAAAACATTTTCTTTAGGAGAGAAAAAATAGAGAAATTAATGTCAACGACAAGAGAATGTACCACTGAATATGTCCCAGAAATACAAAAATAAGCGTTTTCCTTGAGCCCAAACATAACCTTTAATATTGTAACGTCCGAGGTGTTAAGGCTTCAAAGATACTTCAACCCAATGCTTACAATATTGAAGAGACTTCTTAACTCAAAGAAGTTCCAAATATCATGTATGTACTTTTATCCCTTGTTATCCAAATAAGGTAGCTAAAAACTCACATAACAAACTAATAGCCGGCCCTTATCTCACAGTCATAGGAATTCATAAACAAGTAAGTACTAAAAAGAAGCACTTAAAATGAAGTAGTCTCATTATAAATATGACTGCTGCCCATGTTATTTACTCCAACATTAAAAGTCCACAATTTAAAAGACTAATTATATTGATAATCCAGATTTATCCAGCCTTACATTTTTATCTGGAATGTATCCTGATTTTTTTATGACCTGTGATAATTCAACAAAAAAACCTCTGACTATATTCTCATGAGTATGAACTGAAGATGGTTTCTACAGAAGCATAATGGGAGTAATGACACAAACACATTGATTGGGTTTGGTCCAGTAAACAAGTAATAATCCAGAGTACTGCCGGTTTTGGTCACTAGATGGAGGCAGTTGATCGAGAGGTGTTGATCAGGGATGATGATCAGTTTGTAGCGCCTCCCAATGGCGGCATAAATGAACTGCTGAATGTGGACCAAGAAGAAAACGCACAGGAGCAGGTACGTTTTCCTGGGAAAACTCCAGTTCTAGTGTTTCCAGAGAAAGATGTGATTAAATACTACCAACCAAACCCCCCCTCACCTCTCCTTTGCTTTTTCTTCTTGAATAAAGGAGTTTCTTGGCCCACAAGCAGAGTACAACGAGGAGGAGGAGGAGAGGAAGTACTACAGGAGGAAGAGGCTTGGAGTCATCAAGAACGTCCTTGCAGCCAGTGTTGGAGCCATGATTCTGTACAGTGTGTACATGGGTCAGTATGGAACAAAAGACAGTGCATTGGATGAAGGAAGAAGAGCATAGTTCTATTAAATCTTTCTCTACAGGTCTACTGCAGATGCAGCTAATACTCCATTATGATATGACCTACCGCGAAGTGAAGTACAGCAACCTTGGCCTGGAGGACATCGATCACAAGATGCTGATGGGCATCAACGTCACGCCCATCATAGGTCTACTGTACACCCCCGTACTTATCAGGTAGCAAACGCACAAATGATAAAACCTTTCCTTTTGTAACTGAATGTCCTTGCTCTTTAACAACAATATTTCCTCTATTTATATCCCCGGAAGGTTTCTAGGTACAAAGTGGATGATGTTCCTCGCTTCAGGGATCTACGCACTCTTTGTGTCGACCAATTACTGGGAGCGGTACTACACCTTGGTCCCATCGGCCGTGGCTATCGGCGTGGCCATCGTGCCGCTCTGGGCCTCGTTGGGAAATTACATTACAAGGTGAGCAAGCGGATGTGGAAGGGTGGGCGGATAAAGATGTAACATAAGAGGCAGAGGCTGGACCTACGTCATGTGGAAGTACTCATGTGACGTGGACTGACGACCAGTTTCCGATTGTTGGTTTTACCTTCACTGCAGAGAGGTACCAGTTGGCAACCTGTGGCCCTGCCAAGTTGCCCTTGAGCAAGGCCTTTGTTCCCACCGCTGCTTTATAATAGCTGGCTGCCCACTGCTCGTAATTCTAGGATGGGTGAAATGCAGAGGTTATATTTCACTGTGAGTGCAGTACTGTGTACATGTGGACTTCAATTCCTCAATTCTATAAACCCTAAATATATCTTTATACTACCCTTTGACCTTTACCATAATCTTACCATGATCCCTTAATATTGAGCGTTTCTAATGGTCATCAGCGCTTCAATTATATAATTTAGGAACTTTATCCCCTCACATGCCAATGAAGGTAGCCAAAAAAATCAAGTCACAAAACATATAAGGGAGATTTGAGACAATCTAGGAAAATTTGCAAACTTACAGTTAAGCAATTACCTGAAATAATACAGGATTTCAAACCAAAACAACCCTTTAAACACAGGGCCTGAAAAAGAGAAAGTAAAGCGGACCCGCTCCCATGGGTTCATCAAGTCCTGCTGTAGGGAGGCTGTGGCACAGTGGGATAGTGCGTTGGTGTTCGGATCAGGGGGGGTCACAGGTTCAAACCCCACTGCAGTCAGCATGTCGTTGTGTCTCTGAGACACTGCACCCCAAATTGCTCCTGTGGGGATTGTCCACATGTATTGAGTATGTAAGTCACTTTGGATAAAAGCGTCTAACAAGTGACATGTCATGTAGTTACAAAAAGAAAATCTGACATCACTGATGGAACTTTCTTAACTAACAGACTTTTGTTTATTTAATCCTTTATTTAAGCAGAGTCTCTCAAGCATGTGAGCAGTCAAAGTGGGCACAAAATATGAACCTGGACATTTGCATAATAGTGCCCCTTAATAGAGATATGTACAAAGTTTAAAACATTAGTTTTACATTAAGGAAAGCAATCACAAGTGGAATTACAAACACTTGATAATAGTTTTTTTTAAATCTTCAAGTGAAATGAGAGCTTTTACTTTCAAAATCCTTGCTAAGGTGCTGTGTCAGTCAGTACAACTGGAGCTGAATTATCATCAGCTGCTGAAGGTGAATCATTTTCATGTCTGTTCACAAAGAGGTGTAGGAATAACAATACCTTATTGTTTCCATCAGTGCAATGCTCAAACAATAGTTTACGAGGCTCTTTGTTGTGCAGCGCTGTGTTGGGAACTTTATCAGCTCTTTTTTTGTGTTTGTGATACAATGCCGTTAGAAACCCAATTCACCAATCCGATCTACGTTTTTTTATTTCCATGTGTTGAATTTATAAAAATGAATGAAGAAAAACAGATAATGGAAATCTATATTTCATGCGCGCAAGTCATTATTTAATTTCCCAATTGAGTGGTGACTTATTTTTGTTGGCCGACCTGGAAATGAGCCTACCAAGGGCTGCCTCGACTAAAAGCACTGGGATCTTTCCATTGGTTTAGGGAAAGTTGAAGAAAATAAGATCTGTGGCTAACATTTATGATACTTTGACGTTTGCTTCAACGGGAACATATTGACACCACTTTTTAGGATGTATTAACTGTAAATCCAATCGCCAAAAGTTAAAAATGCTATAGGCTAGGGGAGAAGGGGGTAAGTTGAGCCACCCCCTGTTACCAGGCAACGCCTTATAGTTGTAATCAAGTGACAAGACATTATGCAAGCTCCACCCATTTCTCATTGCCTGTGAAAGAGAGATACTCATTGTGGTCTGGTAAGTAAACATGTTTACATTTTCTAGATGTCAGCTATATCGGCTGTCATGTAAAAAAAAAAGTATCCAGGTTTAAACACATATTGTATGTTGATGTGTTGGCAGCGTATTAACCATGTGAATCATTAAGCTAAAGATGAATCTGTATTTTAATGCTAGGCTATTTTTTCTAAAATGGTGGCTATGGGGTGAAGTGAACCATGGTCCTTCGGGTAAGTTGAGCCAGTTTTTCAATGGAGAAATGAATGAAAGTAGGCCAAGTTGATAATAAGAGCTCATTGTAGGCTACATTTAAAGTTGAATTTACCCTGTGTTTGATTGGTAAGATGTATGAAATTGTATCACCATTTGTATGATTACTTTTCCTTTTAACATCAATTTATATTCAAAATATTTGAAAAACTAAGTTTGTATTTGGTTTGTTATTTATTGTTTATAGTTACCTTTACAATTTGTTGTAGGTATGCCCAGGTTTGAACAGGTATGCCCAGGTTTGAACAGTGGTTCAATTTACCCCCTGACCTGGATCAACTTACCCCTACACTGGGGCAAGTTGAGCCACAAGACATTTTTTTTTTAAGAATTAATATTTTCACTGCCCCTGATTAAATATGAATTATTATCATTGCCATTGATAGGAGACATCCTGAATTATAGGTGTGTGTTTTCATTTTTACTATGTGTAATTTCTCCTTGCTTAGAGGACAGCATAACTAAAAAATGGCTCAACTTACCCCACTCTCCCCTATACACAAACTACATGAAATGGCATCGACACCGCTAAGCTAAAGGCTCCGCTATTATTCTGAATGATGACATGACAACAAGTCACTTGTTAGCAACCACTGTTTTTATGACACAATAGCCTCAGATAATAGATTTGGAAATTTGCTCCAAAATGTCTAACACATCCAGAAGTGTACAGGTAATTCTGTATACAGTCTTCAAATGGACACACACCGAACATAAAATGAATGATTGAATTTATCGGCATGCAGGATGGCGCAGCAGTACTACGAGTATGTGAACTACAGAGAAGAGCATGTGCAGGAGCAGAAGAAGCTCCCTAAGGGCGCGTGCCACAGCTACATCATTGTCTTCCAGTCCATCTTCTTCATCATCTTCCATGTGAGTCTAATTTATGCTGCCGTTTAATCAAATGAACCTAAGATTCTTCTCATGTCATGATCAGTTTAACATTGGAAAGATACGTTTGAGCAGCTGCAGAAACTAATGCTCTCTCCTCCTCACCAGCTGAGTTTTGTCTTCGCTGAGTTCCCGATGCGCTTCGTCCTCAACGGCTACCTGCGAGGAAACGAACACATCCTCAAAAATGTCCATAACTGTGGTAAGGGACAGTGTCACTTCCCCACCAGTGATGAACAATTTCTAACAGCAATTGAGGATGACTAAGTATTAGGACTTTTAATTCAGTCCATTTTGACCAATGATTTGTATAAAGATTTGGAAAGATGCTTTTAAGCTTTTTACTCTCTAAACCCTTTTTCCAGTCTTTAAGGCAAGGCAAGTTTAGCGATATAGATATTTAAAAAAACAAGGCATTCTAATGTGCTTAAAACATTTAAAGAATCAAGACGTAGTGTAAAAGAATCACATTATAAAATGACATTTCAAAACAGTCATTACAAAGCTATAAGTAAAAACAAGCTGAAATATAATAAGACTTACATAAATGACAAGAAAAAAAGTTACAGTACAAATGAAGATATTTATTTCTATTTGATTTAAAAAAGGCAGAGGCAAACAGATCTTTTTGCTAAGCTAACTAGCTGCTTTCCCCACCTAGATATTTACCGTTGTTTCTTTAACTTCAACTAGGTATATTGATTTTGCATCGACTCTCCAAAACAATGTTAACTGATTCAATATTCTATATTGACAATGAGTAAGGGGATTTAGATCATTGCTCATTTTAAATGTAGAGAAAACATATATACATGTAACTACTGTGCTCTCCTAAAAGCCACCAGACTTAATTGATCAAACAGGAATTGTACCATGCTGATCAAAACACACTTTATTCAACCTTGACAGAATACAAACAATAACTAGATTAAATATAACTCTGCTGTTTTAACAATCACCAACTTTAGTTTGGCTGAAATAAACCCCTGATTCACAAATGAAATGTTCAAACGTATTTAGACCTAATACTATTCGCATGACTTAATGTCAACACCACTAAGCTTAAGGTGGACTTGGTTTTGGCGTAATGAAGTTTGGCAGTCTTTTGTTTTGTTTGTATTTTATGTCGTAGATCAAAACATGAACATCTTGTGAGCTTAAGACCTTACTTTGGGAATACAACCAAAAACGTGGAAATGCTAACTAATTTCTTCACCCTCTATTGCGTCCAGAAGCATATCTGTCCATGTCTCGAACTGAAAAACAATCTGAGAGGTTCCAGACCAACTAGTATTTTTTATTTGGCCTGTGGATGTTAGGTAAGGTCAGTGGTTCTGAAACTTCTTGTGTCAGTCCCCCCTTTAGAAGAAACATCTCAGTTTTTATTTTCCACCCTTATTCTTGACTGTTTTGCATTGCTCACGTCTTTCCACGGCACGTGCTAGACCAACGTATTTTAGGAAGAGAACAAGTAGAAGTTCAGTGCTAGGCTAGTATACATCTTTTCTACTTCAGTATGTAGCAAAGTGCTACATGAAACTCGAAGTGGCCTCACAGAGCTGCCCTGAAACTAGCGAGGTGCATCACTTCTCCTCAAGCTGTGATGTTTATCATTTTGAACTTCATGCATCATCACTTCCTTTTTGATTGTTCTCAACAAAAGGAGGAAGTAAAAGTGTAGCGAGGTAACACCTCAAAAATATGATCTGCTTCTCTATTCAGCTTGAATAATGTCTTTGGTTATTTCCAAAGATCACAGATGCGTGTGTTACAGGCTTCAGCTCTGACTGCATCCTGAGTGGGATTGAACGCTTGTTTTCCTTCTCCTCTTCCTAATGACAGGAGCAAACATCAAAGGTGTGATCCCTGGCTTCAACACCACCGTGCTCAATAAGCTGCCTCGCTCCATGCTGCTCATCCAAGTGGAAAGCGTCCTCATGGGCTTCGCCTTCCTCTCCATGATCATCGTAAGATCCAAAGGCCCCTACAAACACACACACCTAGAGTTCAGTGTTTTAAGTTGTTTAACATTTATTCATCTGATTGTCTTGTGTCTGTCCTGCATTTTCCTTCTCTTTGGAAGAACCAGGGAATGACAGTTAGGGAGCAATGCTAATTATATATATCATATACAAATGGCCCTAATCCTATTCCGTACATTCCGAACAAGATTTAGAACCAAAGTGATTTTGCAGTCTTACTTGCATCTGGATATGTACTGCATAACTAGAATCAATGTACTGTTGGATTTTCTTGTACTTTACATTTGTGTACAACACTACTTCAATGAAAGCTTTTATTTCTGCTGTAGGACCAACAAACACATTTTCTAAATATTTTTCTTTTGAACAACAATAAATAAGAAGCATAAGAGCAGTACTAATAACTGCGTCTTTATTAAATTGCTTGTAGAATTACCTGACTTACCCTACCTGTCTCTCACGTCTAAGACATGTCAGGCTCTTAAACTGTGTGGAGCAGGAAGCTTCCAAGTTTTCAATAACAAAAAAAGCTGCCTGGTGCAGGAAACAATACTCAGGAGAGCTGTGAGAGTGAACCAAACAGTCATATAATAATAATAATACATTACATTTATAAAGCGCTTTTCCTGGTGCTCAAAGCTCTCACAAGCAAGTCAAACAAAAATAACAACAAAAGTAGAAAGTGCTAAGCTAGGTGGAATAAGAGCAAGGGGTTAGTTGATTAGGAGTTGAAGGCAAGAGTGAAAAGGTGAGTTTTGAGGGATTGTTTGAATGATGTGAGAGTGTTGGCGGATCTGACGTGGCTGGGGAGGGAGTTCCAGAGTGTGGGAGAGGCTGCTGCGTTATTATGGGCCATAAAACCAAAAGAAATGAGCCAGACATTAAAACGCTCAGTAGAGCAGAGGGAACTTGTAGGGCTGGGTGGTGATTCTTTGTGGGTTCATAGTTTTAGAGCAAGATCTTTCACATTACAAACATTCACTGATACATTGCTAGTTTTCCTCATACTGCCTGTGCTGCAGCTCCTCTTTTCACCCTCTGTCTGAAACCAGAGCCCAGTCTGCTCTGATTGGTTAGCTGGCCTGCTCTGTTGTGATTAGTTAATTGCTTAGAGATGTCCCTCCCCTAAGCCTTTTATGTACATTATGTTGGAGCGCTAGCCAATAGAAACGTGAATATAACATAGTGATGTCATTATGTTAGGGTGGTAAACAAAGAAGTTCAATGGAGGTGTTTCAGGCAGGGGAGAGGGAGTGTGTGGGAGAGAAACTCCCTCTGGAGGGAATTCTGGATCTTAGCCTTTGCAGACCATTGACATGCACACAAACCTATAGAAAACACTACAGGGAAGAGATTAACCCCAAGAAGCAGAATAGGCCCCTTTAACATATTTGAGTCGCACTAAGAACAAAGTGTTTTTTGGTCAGGGCACACTCAGGATTTAAAAACATATCCCTGGGCAACCAGTCAATCATTCCATCTCATTTATTTAGCTGCAATTGTATCCAAAGCGTCTCGTATTGTATTCAACCGACCAAAAGTGCAAGGATCATCAAAGTACAGCAACTTTATTAAATGCTGATCTAATTCTACATTTAGAGACAATAGGAGATGGAGAAAGAGTCTGTTTTTGTAGAAGAAACACTCAGATCCTCCAGTTGAAAGCAGTTTAGAAGTCTGGCTGTAGAAATGGGTTGATGTAAATGTACAGTATTGTAGCTTGGCCCATGCATTTATCCCAGCCTAGCTGTAGTTACAGAGGCTTATTCAGCAACGTGTTTGCATTCAGTTTGCCTTATGATCCAAAGTATATTGTAGAGCCTGTGACTTAGTTTTTCATTGCCATATCTACACTGTAGCTAATGTGCACATGACAATAAAGCCTTGAATCTTGAAACGTATCATATCAAAACAATTTCAAATGAATTGTTTGATTTTTGCTGCTTCCCACAGTTCCTGGTGCTGTGTGGCGCCGCCTACCGCCCCACCGAAGAGATCGACCTCCGCAGCATCGGCTGGGGAAACATCTTCCAGCTGCCTTTCAAAACACCTGAGGGACTACCGCCTGCGCCTGCTCTGCCCCTTCTTCATCTACAGCGGCTTCGAGCAGATGTTCGCCATCACTGGATTCTCCCTGGTACTGCACTTTTACTCACATTGCTTCATTTGGATAGTGTGATACCAGAGAGGAGCCGACACATTATAGAAATAAGTACAGATTCAATCAGATTTCAATCTCTTAAACACAGTATGGATTGTAATATACATCCATAATATTTTAGTACAATGTGCACATTTTTACTTTAACTTCTTGTGTTTACATTAATATTCTTATTTGATCTATTATTGGACATTTTACATTAACTTATATTTTTTTGAATTACCTTTTTTGAATTTTATGTTTTTATTGCACACTTATGTTTATAATAATAATAATTCATTTCATTTTTATTAGAGTGCTTTTCCAAGTGCTCAAAGCGCTTTACATTACAAATTACATATATTAGACATTTAACAGTTATTACTGTGGACAATACCCACATTCTTTTTTATTTTATCTTTTTAAAGCACATTCTTACTTTAACTTTTTGTTTAAAGTAAATACTTGTATTTAGTTTGATGTTTTTCTTAAATGAAATTCTTAGGTTGATATACACATTTTTACTTTATTTTATCTTTAATTGCAAAGGTTACTTTAACTTCTTATGTTTATTTGAATATCTTTACTTTATTTTATATTTTTATTGGTTATTCTTATTTTCATTCTATTTGTTTATTTATCTTTTATATATTTCATTCTAAAATGAAGCAACTGTGACCCGGGACCAACAGCCTGTTCTGGTTCTCTCCTCAGTCCTATGGCGTGTGCGCTCTGGGCCTGGATAAGCTGTGGCTCCTCATCCTCGTGTACGGCCTCTCCTGCTCCGTCTTCTCCTCCCTCTCCCTCTGCCTCCTCCGCCTCCCGCGCTGGGTGTGTCTGGTGGGGGGGGGCCGTGGTGCACCTAGTGCTGCTGGTGGCTCTCCTGGCTTTCTCTCCAACCCCGAAGACGCCTTCATATCTGGGTCCTCTGCTGGTGATCTCTGTGCTGTGGGGACTGGGCAGCGCCCTGAACAAGACGGGCGTCAGCAGTGAGTCACGCTGGTGCTGTTCGAGTTGTTGGTATGTAACTTTGTTCACACGTGACATTATCAGCCTGACTTCTCTCTCTCTCTCTCTCTCTCTCTCTCTCTCTCTCTCTCTCTCTCTCTCTCTCTCTCTCTCTCTCTCTCTGTCAGTTCTGCTGGGCATGCTGTACGGTGAGGAAAAAGAGCGTCTTGACTTTGTCTTCACCATCTATCACTGGTGGCAGGCCATCGCCATCTTCATCGTCTACCTCTGGTCCAACATGCCTATGAGGGTATGATTTGTGTTGAGAGAAAGTTCAATGTGTTTGTGTCTCAAGTTTAAAGGATTCAAAGCTTTATATGTCCTATGCATAATAGCTATATTTTCCTATTTTTGCCCCTTTCCTCAGGCTAAGCTCTCAATCGTGTTGGCCACCTTGCTGCTGGCCTGCTTCTGTTACGGGGTGATGGAGCGCCGGCTGGCCAGGAAGATTCCTTTCAGACTGCCTCGCATCCCTCGGCCCCGGCACAAGGTAACCAGTCACCGTCTGACAGCTGAAGAATAAAGGTCAACCTTTATTAGTCCCTAAGGGGAAATCAGTTGCAGCTTGCAGATAAGGAGAATATATTTTAGGGTATTTAACTGAACAAATTGACAACAGGAATTCATTCTCCACTCCACAGCAAAACTAATATTGATGTCCATGTGATGTAGAGAAGCAGCCATTATCTGTACCAGGGTTTCCGTTAGCCGGTAATTACCGGTTTTTAGCTGGTAACATTGGATCATTATCGGCCGATATTCACTCTTAATAGTTTGATCGGTGCTCTCTATAAAGCCCGATCAGGAGAGCTGGATCTGATCGATGTGGACATAAACGCGAGTGAACTATAACCAGACGCGAGAGAGAGATCAGATCAGCTGCTGAGTCTGATGGAGACACGCAGCTCTGCATGATCACCTGAAGCCCCGCCTCTGTTTAGCGAGCTGCATGAGAAACTGACGGGCTGTCAGGAGGGAGAGGGGAAAAGAGAGGGTCCGTTTCTCCCGTGTTATAATCCAAAGTTAATGTAAACTTTTGAATAATGTACTTCATCTACTACAAGTAGTTTGCTTGAATGTAATAATTATGTTGTTTGTGGAAGCGCATCATTTATTGAAAAATGAATCTGAACTTTTCGATCTGTTACGATTATAAAAATGAGCCCCATTAACTGAGTTTCAGCATATCCGGTCATAGTCTGATAATTACCTGCAAACGGATACTCTGCAACACAATTCTTGTTCTTCTTCTTCTTATTATTATTATTATTGAAACATGACCGGTAAGTTTCGAATTTGTCCGGTAAAATAAATTATTTCTGGACATTCGACCGGCAAGAAAAAATCCTAGCGGAAACCCTGATCTGTACACATGCTGCTATTTTCATTTGTTATTTTGATTGCAATTTCACAAATAAGCATTTTCTGCTAGTTTGTTTTATATTTCTCATTTCAAGTCAATAAAATGTTGGTATTAAGTTAAAATGTATTTTTTCTGCCTTCAAAACCCCCCCAAAAAGAACCAGAAATGTGTTTAGCTTATTGTTCCATTAGTTGAATGTCACCCATACACTGAACGGAGAGGTTTCCGTGCGCTCCCTTTATATCTCACTTTAAGCCTTTTATACATTCATTATTTTTTAACATCCCAACTTGTCTGGAGCCATTCATAGTCAAATATGCATCACACAAAAGTGTGATGTGGACATTTGAAATGCCCAGTGCACATACACTGAGGAACCGCAGTGAGGTCAGTCATCTTTTTAAATAAATGATATTTGTTTCTATTTGTTTTAGATTGATTCTAGGATTTTAAGGAAGGAAGAGGGAGTACATGTCATTTTTTAAGTAATTGAACTTATTTTTGGAAAACTTTTAACACAAATTGTTATTCAAAGCAGAGTACTTAATATATCTTGATACACGAAAGTAATAATACTTTTTGTCTTCCACTACACTATTGACTGTCAAATTAGAGCCATGCGTAAATAGGCTATAACGCCAATTTCTGAAGGAACAAACCTCTGTAGAGGAAATCTTTTCGAAATGCGAGTCAGTTATTGTGAAACTTTTTATATGTAAATAGAATGAGAGCAAACACATTTTGACTTTGGAACACCTCTCTTTCCCAGCCATCAATAACATATATTATTTGTGTCCGCAGGTCAAAGGCTACCGCTACCTGGAAGAGGACAACTCGGATGAGTCAGACTCTGAGAGGAGTGATGACGAAGAGGAGGGGCTGGACGACGACGAGCATGTGGCGGAGGAGATGGAAGCTGAGGACGAGGACGGGGACGGAGGAGGCCAAGACGCAGGGGGCCCTGCAGCTGAGTCACCCGGAGCTCGGAGGAGAGGAGCCGAGGGTCAGCACCACAGAGGGGCGGAGGCCTAACTGAGGGAGGAGGGGGAGAGACGAGGAAGGGGCAAGAGGACAGATGGCAGAAGAGGAAGATAATTAGAGAAGGGCTGTTGGGCCCATTACTCCGTTCATATTTTACATATGTTTTTATACAATCTCACATACGACACTTAACTAAAGCATTTCATATTGCCATTTCTTTGAATTAAGGGCTACCCCATTATGGCAACATCATAGTCATAATAATGAAAATATATTAAATAATTTTATAACAAATATGTATTAACAGTGGATTTCTACTTTAAATTCAACTCGGCTGCAAAAAATACATTTAAAATGTTTAACATTATCATTAAATATATAAAACATACACTTTTAAATAAATTAATTCAAATGATAAAAAAAAGTATTTATCATAAAAAAATTAAATGTAAAAAACCATGTTGTAATATTCTCAAGAGCTTTAACAACAGAATAAGGTACACAATACTTTTTTCATTATCTTGTTTTTCTTTCCTTGGAAGTCAATATCACAACAGAAGTCCAGAAGAAAGGGAACATATCAATGTCAATAATTAAAAGCACACACTCGATAAAACACGACTACAACAAATACTTTTCTTTTAGTGGCCCATTATTATAGATCATCAAGTATAAAACATATCTGAAAAGAAAAGAAGTGGATGCAACAAAAAGAGATTGAGAAATAGATTTTCTAAGTTTATCTTCAGTGAAGTCTGTTTGGATGGAGTCATGTTTAGAGCTCTGCTGAATGTGAACAATCTTTTTAAAATGTATGCTAATTAATACAAAAGAAACAACCTAAATGGAGCTACTAGCTCAGACAAGATGCCTGGCATGTGTCTTTGGAAAATATCTGTTTCATTCGCTTTTTTACAGACAATGAATGTAATTGTTTGCTTTTATGCAACAGGTACCGGACAATCAGTCATGTATAGCCAAAGTGAGTGAAGTATGTCAGTTGAGGGATATTATAATTACTTATACGTGAAATAGTTTTTTGTATAATCTACAATACAGTAAACAAGATTAAGAGTCTACACAAATGCTAGCAAGTCTATTATGTGCTTTATCAGCTACCTTTATCAGAGTGAAAATGCTGCAGTTGGCTTAGTAAGCTAAGATGTTAACGTTGGTGTATCAAAGTTCAGTTAAAATCTGCAAACATTAGGATGCTAACTTGACTCGTGTTAACTGGCTTAACAGATCTAATGAATGCTCTGTTCACCACCTAACTTTAGTGTGTTAGCATGCTAACATTAGCCATATAGCGCTGTACAGAAAACACATAATTAACTGTTAACTGCCAAGCTGGTACAGAAAGATTGTGCTGACTATTTCTTAAGAAAGGCACTCAAATTAAGGTGTACACATTAAGGTACAAATATTTTATAGATTTGTAACAGTTGAATTAGTTAATGCCTCAAAATGTCTTGAAATTAAAAATGATGCAAATTTCAAATCTTGTTCAACTCCACAGGAGTTATTAAGCTACAGGGGTTTATAAAGTAAAAATATATAATGAATGTATCATTGACATGAATAGCTGGCACATGCAAATGTAATGAAGTTACTTCCAAAAAAACTAAAGAGGAGGGTCTACATGCCTACATGTCTGTTGAAGAATAAATACTTGAAAATAATACTGAATACCTGACAGCCTTATTGCCTTATATCTCTATCTTTTATACTTTTAACTGTCTAAAGCAGCCTGCATTTCTTCTTATCCTTTACATAAATTAAGGCATTTCCACCATAATTTGGTACAAAATCAATTTATGGTGGAACATTTGATAGAAATCCCAAAATTCAATGTTTGACTCTTATATTTAGTGCAAATTCTGCATTTTCAGCTAAATTCAGCAACAAATGTACACAGTTTACAGCATTCACACGCATTTTCAGCAGGAAATGCATTTTCTAGTTATTATTATTTCAACCAATATTTTGCCGTCGAATAACTTCAGCCTACTTTCAGCTACAGAAACCATTCAAATATGAACATATTCAGCCTTTTCATCACATGATGGGAAACTTTCAACCTTTTCATAATATTTTATACATTTGGAAATATTCAGCTTTTTAAACTCTTTTTTTTTTAACATGTAACTCAATGGGAGGAACCTTCAAATCCTCTTTTACCTACACCGTGCGCCAAATGCTACTCCTTCCACATACTTTCAGCTAGATACTTCATTCCAACTTTTAAACGGTCACAAGACCTTCAGCTATAAAACTTATACTTCAGATTTCTCATATCTTTTACACTTTTTGAGATATTAAAGTTAGTTTGGAGCTTGGTAAAGAGGCCTTCTTCAGATTTTAACATGAGTGTGTATTGAGCAGCTCGTTAAGGCTTAGAGTGCGTGATGTCACAGCTAGGGTGCGGGAGAGCTTGAAACTCACCTTCATATATTTTTTTAACTGCCATCATTCCCAAACCCTACACTCCTGGGACATAATTCTATGCTTGAATTGTAGGAAAACCTCTCTTATGTTGAAAAAAAAAAAATAAGGACACAAATTAAACAAAATGCCTCCTGAGGGCATGAAGTGACAAAAACTTTCAACATAAATGAATCACAAACAAACACAAATTAAGGCCCATTGTAAATAAAGTCAGATCTTTCCTCAGAGCAGCAGCTGCACACCTTTAGTAAATCTGCCATAAATGCCACATTATGGACCCGAAAGTCCATACAAAGCAGATTCCGACGCTCCTCACGGTCCTGACATCCTCCACGCGTTGACATTTTACGAAAGCAGCTACCGTTTTTAAACTATAGTTAGAAATGTAAGAGGTTTATTTCTCATTCAGAACAATGGAAAGGCTCTCCTTTCACAGCACATCTCCATGGAAACCTTTGATCTCTGGCCTCACGTACACAGATGTTTGATAACGTTGTCACTGTGGTAACCTTTGATCTCTGGGCTTACACACACAGGTGTTTGTAAACATTCATTCACTATTACTTACATTTAATATCTAACTCCTTCAGCCTACTTTCAGCTACAGAAACCATTCAACTTTATTGCAAATGCAATTGAAATGCAGCGTTTTTCTGTTGTATTTGTTTTCAGAGTTTGTTTGTTTTTCATTTCATTATTTGCAGGTGTTTCCTGCTTATGTATGCGTTTTTGGCCGTTGTTCAGCGTTTGCACCTGCCGGCCACCGTGAGGGGCCGGGCGGTGGTGGCGAAGTCGATAGGGGCTTGGCTTGGCAACTGGAAGGTCACCAGTTCAAGTCCCGGCAAGACCAAGTGCTACCGAGGTGTCCCTGAGCAAGGCACCGTTCCCCGCGCGCCGTTCAAAATGGCAGCACACTGCTCCTAACACTAGGATGGGTCAAATGCAGAGAAACAATTTCCCCACGAGGGATTAATAAAAGTCCATCTTAATCTTAAAAGCAGCTACAGAGACCATTCAACTATTAACATCAGCTTTTTCGAAAGGGGTCTGCCTGCAGGCTTCCACTCTCAGGACAGTTCCGGTGTAGGCTCCACTGTCAGGACAGGAAGTGACGATTCTGACGAACATGTTTTTTCCCCCGCCCCCCGAAGGACTCGTCTGATGGAAGTTTTCAAATCACAATGGAGACTCATCACGGAGGGGATGAGTCAGCTCACCACGCACTTTGGGTCGGCCTTGGTCAAGCCCTTTTGACCCCCTCAGCCTGGTTCTTGTAAAAATCAAATGACACCATGGAGGAATGTAAAGGGAGTTGACAGGGGACTCTGCCCGCCTCACGAGTGCCTATTTTCGGACACTTTATTTCACTTTTCCTCGGTTTTATTAATTTTTCTTTTTTTGGCTATTTCACCCGGTTCCTTCTACCGGTGACACTGCCCGGTCTCGGGTGTCCCCCACGGCCTGTGTCCAGCCGTTTCCCCCCCCAACTCATCCATATATTAACGGATTTTGACAATTTTTGTTGCATTTTTCTCCTCTACTCTCACTGATCGAATGGCAAACACGACCCACCATCGGAGGGCCTCCACCGTCCCGGCCTAGTACCGGTGCTCTGGCGGTCGGTTCCTCCGAACTGCGGGTTCGACTCTGATGGCCGGGCGGGTGTGCTGTGTTGGGGTGGGGGACTTCCCCCACTCTGCGTGTCTCTTCCTTCCCGGGCCGGCCGATATGAAGCGTGACCAAGACGCACCGTCTGACTCACACAGCGTCCACACGGCGGCGTACGTTGAAGCTTGCCGGTGGACGTGTCTGAAACTTGACCAACAACCTATCACATGAATCTCCCGCCCCGGACACACAAGCACACGGTTTGATTGGCTAGAGCTTGTACTGGCATATGATTTGATTGGCTGACGCTTCCGTTGCTCGCTTCAAAAGTTGAACATTTTTCAACTTTTGAAGCGAGCAACAGGAGCACAGCGAAGCGACGCTCCCAAAATGCAGTTCGGCAATGCGTGACGTCACCTCATTCAAAGTGAATGGGCAGAAGCGTTGAAGCTTCAACGAACGTGTGGAGGGGCCGTCAGGGGTCCCACCATGGGTCCCGCAGCGGGGTGGAGGTTCCCGGCTGGAACCTCCCCACCTCCGCCGCGGTGCGCCCGGCACACACGGTTGTTTCTCGAACCCTCCACTGTTGTCTAGCGGGTGTAACTACAATACAAGATGTCGTTATTTATATATATAAATATATATATATCTATATCTATATAGATATAATAAGTGTCAGTGTGATTTCATTTTGTATTAGCGTGCATTTCCTGTTCGGAAAGTGGTGCTGTACTGAGAGTAAACAATACAAGGTGTCCCTATTTTTATATAAACATATATATATATATATATAGACATATGTATATAATAAGTGTCAGTACGATTTTATTTTGTATTTGCGTGCATTTCCTGTTCGGAGAGTGGCGCTGTACTGAGAGTGGCGCTGTACTGATAGTGGCGATTTATTTTGTAATTCTTAGCGTGCATGCACTTCCTGTACTGAGAGTGGAGGTGTCCTGAGCTTTATATATACAGTCTATGGTCCTGAGACTGGCATCTGCATGCAGGCTGGCTCCCATGGCTTTTCTGCAATTTCAGCTAAATTCAGCAACAAATGTACAGTTTACAGCATTCGCACGCATTTTCAGCAGGAAATGCATTTTCTAGTTTTCTAATAGAGAACCGAGACCAACTGCCTAAAGTTGTTCTAAGTGTATATAACACTTACTGTATCTCCTGCGCCTATTTGTCACTAAAGCTGGGTGATCTGAAGATAACCAAATATCACATCATTTTGGACCAAGTACCTCAAAATCTAAATTTTAACAATAGTGTTTGAAAGACCATCGATGCTTCAATATTACATTTACACAATGATCATTTGGATACATAATAATCAGTGTAGGAGCCATATGTTAAAATGTATAGTTTGATATATTTGAATATTATAATCCTTTGTTGTTAGTGCTATTACTGTATATAATTTATTTGACCCAGCCGTGTGGAATTGACGTTATAGCCGACGGCAGCTGCTGGTGATTGTGTGTGTGTGAGAAGGAGAAAGAAGCACAGAGCAACATAGTTTTTTGACCTGTAAAAATATGTGTTTGTAATTGATACCCTTTGTTTTGAAGTAAAGTGTCATACAAACTATCCTGAGACGTATCTTGTCCGAGTCAAGCTTATTGCTAACTTTAAATCAAATTTTGGATTACTGGAACTACAATCAGTAATGTGCATTTCTTTAAGGGGCTGTATAATGATTAGTAGGGTTTTACCTCTCCTATAGTGTGTCATATCATTTGTTGTGCATGTAAAGGCTAAAATCCCATAAGAGTTTATATTTTTATGACTTTATTTGTTGGCATTTCTTTGGTTTTCATGACCATTTATAGTGTATTTATAGAAGTTACATCACATTCAGTTGGGAATCACCTGACTATTTTCAGGACTGTATATTTTAGGCTGAAGATCCAGTTCATGCAAGAAGAATAACTGCAGTTAACATCACTCCCGACTTTACAATGATGCCAAAGCTTTACTTATCACTTTGAAGTTGTTAATGTATGCAATGTCATGTCACTGACTCAATGAGTGCGAAAACTCTGTTTATGCAACATTGTGTACTTCTCGCTTGATAATACTCGTACATTTAATTAAAGATGGTGTTGAAGTTAACTGCTGCTGTGGGTGGTGGCGTGATGTCAAAGTCAGCGACTTTATATATGGTCCGGATTCAACGTTTGTCGCTATGGGAACTCTAAAGCTAGTCCAATGCAAAGAAGACTTCATTGTAGTAATTGTGACAATTCACATACATACCCACACAAAATATAAATATAGACTACATCATTGAAAACGACTCACAGGAATGACAGAAACGACTTGTCAGGTTTTCAATCTGAGCTTTATTTTATTTGTATTAACAGAAATATGAATATGAGCTGGGATAAAGAGGTAGCTGCTAAGTCACTGATGGTTTGTGTTGTAGTTAAACCCAAAACCGAAGCTTAAAGTTCAGTTTTCCGGCCTTTAAGTCAGGCGTCCAGGTGTTAGCCTGAGCCGATCCTGCTGGTCCTGGTCCGGTCCTCCTTAATGCCTGATGCGTCTGATGGACTGGACCTTGGGAGTCTGGCAGTGGGAGCCCCAGTTCCTCCAGTGCTGGTAGTCTCCGCTGTGCTTCTCACACTCCATGATGTACTGCTGGCCCCTGTAGCCGGCGTACTCGTAGCACACAAAGCTGCAGGAGGAAGATAGCAAGTAGGTAAGTAGGAACTGAAATACCTTTTGCTGATCGATTTACCCAAATCATTTTCTCCAGGTGGTTCTCAGATTAAATTTGGATATTACAGAATTAAAGAAATGCTGCTAGGGAGGCTAGGAATAAAGATATCTGAATATTTTGTACTGAATATTCCATCTTGCGTGTGACATTTTTGGACAGTTTTAGGAATTTTTAAACTTGCTCAAGAGGAGAACTTAAGTGGGAATTCAGAGTTCTAGGTTGCAGTCGAATAGTCCAAAAATCAGCTCCTAACGTCTATCCCTTGACCTCTGTGTGAAACATCACAGGGTTAAGGGATAGTGGATAGGAGAATTCAAAAGGAACTTAGGAGAAGAGACCGCGGTGCTTTAGAGAATCCGACTGCACTTTCACTATCCGACGTGTTTATGATGCGCCAGCGGACGTCATGAATGTGCGTCTGCTGCTGTGGGGAAACTATGGAAACTACAGTTTTCTATACAGCGGACTACAACATGGATGTTTAATAAGAACGAGGGACTACTGTAAACTCATCTAGAGACTCTGCACCGTGCTCTGATGCTGTTGCTTTATGCTTTATGAACGTGGACAACAGAGAAACATATTCTTCATGATCAAAGTTGGAATTGAAATAAAAAAGGAAAGTGAAACTTATGCTCGTCACCCTCTCCCTCCGGTCCACATTAATACAAATGATCCCAATACGTATGATTGTTTGAAAAGATCTTAAAATCAATACAGATGTATTTATTATAAACGTTAGTCCTTAACACCTATCACTGTGTATATCACCATTCAAACATCTTTTAAAAGTTGAACAAACCCCACACAGCTCAGTAAAGACTGTGAGATGTTGACTTTATTTGATCATTTCAGTAAAAACTAACGTTCATATTTCTCTTTTTGATTATAATACTGATGAACGTTCAAAACAAAGCACTTTGGCAACTTACCACATACGTTTTAAAATGCTTATTATTAATAAGCATCGTCACTTTCATGATATCATTTCTCGGTCATAATCGGTTGTGAGACGGCAAATACTGCGGCTGCAAGGCATTGTGGGGCAGCACTTTCTCCTCTCCTTTCGTAAAGGGAGGTCCAGTGGTTCCTAAGCTAAAGGAAGTTTGAAACCTCCTTTCCTATCATCTAGGGAATTCGAACGGCACTTATCATGGCTGCCGCTGAGGTACTTCCAGGTCATTTCACTCCGTTAGGAAGGTTCCTAAGCTAAATGGACTATTCGACTGCAACCCTAGAGAAGTGGAGGGGGAAATTAATCTAACTAAACTAGTTAAATGGGCAGGAGGTGCTCACGGGGTAAATGGGGTCTACCAATCAGAGTTTCAGGGCTTTAATCCCTAGCCCTTGCAGTCAACATGTCAAAGTGTCCTTGGGCAAGATATCCCAAATGTATCCTGTAAGCATGTCTGCCTTATAGAAGTGTATGTATGTCGCTTTGGATAAAACTGTCAGCTAAATGTAATGTAATGTAATATATATATATATATATATATATAACTACATTATGGATTACTGTTGCTGTACTGTATAGTACTCCTTTCTGCTCATATCTACAATTACTGCTTCTTTATTTCACTCTAAAGCCGTCTCAAACCTATTTATGCTCTCATTTAACTGGAACCGAAAAGTGTTGGGGTTACTTACGCTCCACTCTGCACGTGCATGGAGCCCACCTCGGGGGTGGCCCAGCCCATGGCCCTCAGGGAGGGGTAGTCGTCGCACAGCTCAGTGCTGCGGCCCATGAAGTTCTCCTTCTCGAAGATCATCATACGGCTGTTCTGGTGGGACTGTGGACGAGAGGAAGCGGGAAGGAGGGGGGGGGGGGGGGGGGGGGGGGATAGGGAGGTATTGTTAGGCCTTACAGACCCTATCTGTTGTATTGTTTCTATATCTGAGCTGTTTCAGCCCCTCGCTGGGTGACTCCTCCTCCAGTCCCTAACTATCCTCCTATTTGGCCCATGAATGCATAATGAGAACTGGATCCAACGTTGGAGGCGGGGCATCGTTCATGCCTAAAGAAGTTCCACATTGGCGCCACAAAGTACAAAATGGCCCGACTATATACAAAATGACCCGGATCATCCAGGAATCTGGGCCCATAGAGCATGCGCAATTGCGTTTTCTTGAAGCTCTGCCTCCAATTCGGGTCAGTCCAACTATTGTAGAGGAATAAATGGATTTGGCTTAAAGCGTATTTTACAACTTCTGGACCTAATGATTCAAATAAGGGCTATTCAAGTGTTTGTGCTGTGGCCAATGCACCTGGGAAGTGAGCCGGGCATTTAAGCAAATTCTCAAAGTGGCCAAACGGTGCCACTATTCTGTTTCACTGACATCATTGGGCCCAAAACTACTCTTTCCTATTGACTTACATTGGGAAAGGGACGTCTTTAAACCAGCAGTTTTAGGTAAATCAACTTCCCAGTACCAACATTTGGATATACCTAATTTAAATCATTTGGTTCTAAAAGTTGTAAAATGTGCTAAAAGCCAAATCCAGAGTTATTTTCCCTCCTTAAATCCTTTGACTTAGTCAAGAGCGGACGAGACAGAGCTGATCGAAGGAAAGCTTAGGAAATAACATATGCTCATGCTCTATGGGCCCAGATCCCTAGATGATCTGGGCATGTTTGTACTTGAGCCAGGACATTTTGGCTTCATTGAGTAACTTTAGGAATGAATGGGGCTCCACCTCCAAAACTCTATCCAGTTATCTTTATACATCCATGATCACTCCTTCCTTCTGTCACTCGCTATCCTCCTTTTTGGTAGATACTCACAGCGCAGTAGATGGGGCGGAAGGACATGAAGTACTCGTTGTGGTAGGACAGGGAGCCGCTGTAGGCCTCCCAGTTGGGGTACTCGCCCCTCTCCAGGATGAACTGCTGGCCCTGGAAGTCATGGTGCTCGAATCCAACCCAACTGTAAACATGGGGGAAAGAAGAGGTGAATGTCAGATGGGTGAGTAGAAACGGTCAACATTGGTTTTAAGTCAGCGTGAACATAACACAATGAGGCGACATTACACAGGGTGAGAGGAGATAAAGAGCACGAGGAAAAGTAGCTGCAGATGGGACATGAAGATGGTCCATCCCTCTAGTGGTCACAGGAAGCACTGCATGGTAATCCTATTTTCCTTTTTCACTGAATTAAACGTTTTACCAACAAAAGTCCTGATCCAGCCCCCTTTTGAATCCTTTTATTTTTTTCTATTACACCCCACAAAAATGAATTTGTTTTCTGTATACTAAAAAAATCCCCCTAGTGGAAACCTGAAGAATAGCATGTATTGGCCCCATAAGGCAAATGTGGAAACATTTCTCAATCTGGTGATACATAGTAAAAAGTAGCATTTATTTAATTGATAGCAAATGCCGTAAGCGTAGTAGAATCCAAAAAAGAGATTTTTAAAGTCTTTCAATTGGGACCTTTTCTTTTGTTAAGGCTTTGCTACACAGTTTATAATAGACTTATTATAGGTGCTGAAAAAAAACTCACATTGATATTCTTACATTGAATTGACTTTTGGTTCTTCATTTAGGGTGTAACCTAAGTGGCTTGCCCTCTTCACACTTAGTTTCTGTAAATGGTTTCAGTGGATATACAGTGATTTAATTTTCCGTTTTTTTGAGTCTTGAATTATAAAAAAGGTCCCACCATTTTCCCTCTGGAGCTAAATCTGTATTCATCTGCTGCAGTCAGCATGGGACAACAGTTCAGAGTAACATTTTGGTTAGAAGTGCGTCATAATACAGCGGGGGAACACGTTTGCAAAGAGGAGAGGAGAATTAAGCTCTTGAATGTACATGTAGTGAAGGGAGAGACTGTGCTCTTTCAAACAAAAAACACGCTTTTAAAAATGTATGACATGCAGTTGGTAAAACTCAACTGCATGATTTGGGCCTTAAATACCCACGAGAGGAGAAAGAGTTAATGATACGATGGGTTAATCCAGTTGATTTCCTTAGGTTAACATTAAATACTTTTAAATATATGTCTAAAATAGCGTAATTATAGCGTTTTATTTTGAAATCCTAGCTCAAACTTATGGAACATTTCCTTTCCATGTTGGACTTACCTGGACTTAAAGTCACTACGCCTCCACCACCATTATTATAAAACCAGTGGTATATTATTTGATCAATTTAAATAATTAATATAAACAATGTATGGGATCCGTTTCCTTTTTTTTGTATTATCTCTTTGTATATTTCCTCCGCATACACTGATAAATGGTGAAGTATCACACCATTTCATGAACAAAGGCTAAAAACAGTTGTGTGACCTTAAATGATCCTCTGCTGACCACAGGTGAGGTATGTACACCAGCTCTGAAAAGAATCTCTGTTAAAAGCATCCGTCATCTCCTTAGGTGAAACTCTTTCTCAGTCTTTCATCTGAAAAAGGCAGCAGTGGGAGAAACACCTGACCTCTCCATCACTTATAATGCTGGGTGCTGCATACACGTAGAAAAGAAGGACCTCAGAGGTCATACGCCTTTAGTGTGAGCCTGGAAACTACTTCCTCTCTCATTATCTCCCTGCCTCACAGACACAGACTTACAACACACACACACACACACACACACACACACACACACACACACACACACACACACACACACACACACACACACACAAACACACACACACACACACACACACACACACACACACACACACACACACACACACACACACACACACACACACACACACACACACACACACACACACGTCAGTCAGCTGTCCACAGAGACATGCAGGTGTACAGGCTGTGTGACTCACGCTCCACTCTCCACTCTGATGGAGCGGATGTTGTCCAGGCCGCAGTTGTGGATGTTGCCGCACTCGGAGGTGAACTCTATACACTTTCCCTGGAAATGCTCCCGCTCAAACACAGTCACCTGCGCACAGGGGAAGACAGGCATGAGTGTTTGTGTGTGGTGTGTGTGTAGAGTGTGTAGTGTGTGTAGTGTGTGTGTGTACATTTACCTTAAAGTAAGGGGCTGTACCCATGCTTGGGGAAAACATGGGAGAGGTCATGTGGGTTCTGGTAAATCTATTCATCTCTAAATTGAAAGAAAAAAAAAAGTGCATTTATAAGAGAAATCATATACATAGTGAAATGTATGAGCAACATTAGATTTATTGGATATCAACAGAATCATTTTTCCGTAAAGGTAAACTTTGAGTGCATTTAAATATGTCCTAATAGTTAATAATAATGTTGTCATTGAACGTGTCATGCAGCCAACATGTTTCTAATGAAGAAACTAAAATATCTTTGTTAGGAGAAGTCAAAACAAACATTTAATCAGCAAAAACAGTAAAGTCCATCCCGTGGGAAACTTCTGTGAACATTTATTTTCCCGCTACTGCTTACCTGATGCTCTCATCGCGCTCCTCATACTCCAAATCCTATTTACGTAGACTCTGTGTGAACCTGGCGCGCCCGTTATATACCAGCGTCCACGCGGGGAACCTCGTGCTCGCGCATGTGCGCGTGTTGCCCCATCCACGCCAACGATGTAAATTAAGCGAGTGTGTGTGAGGTTGGCCTGAATTCAGGATCACACTTCCGGTCAGGGCTTTCAAAATACATCTCTATTGTACAATGTAGGCCTAACCCCTGTACAGTGTTACACTGATTATTTGAAGATACAGAGAATAACAATTAAATATATTTTCTTCTAGATAGTGGGATCTTTTTCGAGAGTTGTAGGCATAAATATAACATTTATCAGCAGCTCTTTGGATAATTTAATAATTAAGTCATTTTATGTTATCTGTGTCCTTATGTTTGGCTTGTCACTAATATTTAACAATATTATAGTAAGTAATGTTATATACATGACAATTAATTGATTGTTATCAATAAACATAGTGAGTACTCACTTTTCATCAGAATCAGTAAAACATTGTAGTTTCTAAAGAGGACATTGAGTTTCGTTGCATTTGTTCACATTGCAAAATTAAAATATAAGCATAGGTCAATACATAGATAAAATAAATAAATGTGAGAATATGTGCCATATACTACAGAATATATAAATAATACATATGGGGAAATATTTATGCTTATAAAATATCAGTGTAAATATAAAAACATGCTTACAAATAAATGCTTTAGATGAAAGTTATCCTGCCTCAGAACTATTTAGGCTTTTATTTTGAAGGCCAGTGGTAAGAGAGTTTCTGTATTCCTATGGCTAACTGAAGCCAACTTTACTCAGGTGAGCTTGAACCTCCCATGCGCTCCTCTGTGTTCGTGTTTGTGCGCGTGCGTCGGTGACTCTGCCGCTCAGCCCCCTCTCTCTCTCTCTCTCTCTCTCTCTCTCTCTCTCTCTCTCTCTCTCTCTCTCTCTCTCTCTCTCTCTCTTTGTAACTCTATGTGGCCTGCAGACTCAGCAGTTTGCGGGCTATACAACAGGCAGAGGTGAGGCTGGGGAATGCTGCCTGTTGTTGCTCTATTCGTATAGGTCAGCATTCGTATAGAGCAACAATGGCGGGGAGTCCGGGACTATAGGCAGAGAATTAGAAGGATTTGGAGAGCTTGTTTCAATGGAGCCACTCTAAAGTTGAGGTAATTTACACACAGGCTCAATTAAAGTGAAATAGCCTACTATTAATGAATAATATTTTTAAAAAATGAATAGAGTGGTGCAGTGATGATGTATGACACAGCAGTTAACATCACAAGGGCTCCCTTGAGAGAAAAAGCAGTGGGATTTTTCAATTTTATATTAGAACATGGTGGAGAATTAGATCTATGGTTAACACACGTTTATGATACTTTCACGTTTTGTTCAGCAGGATAATTTCCACATATTTCCACAACTTTTAAGACTTGTTAAGCCTATAATAATCCCCAGAAGTAAAACGCTAATATTAGGCTGTAAAGGAACTACATCATAGTCACATGGCAGCACTCAACCACCGCTAAGTTAACTGCGGCTAATGTTCGGCGTAATGATGTTTAGCAGTCCCATTTAGTCACTTATTCGCAACTGCCGTGTTAAAGACACATAGAAGCTCCAGACATTAAATATTGGAATATTTACTGACATTTAATTGTATTTGTTATGTCAAAAAATCAAACGTGATAATCCCTTACATTTGTGTTAATCACAGATCCAATTTCAGTCACCTAAGCAACATGTTCAAACATAAGTGACTCATAACCAGGTCTAAGGACTCATTCCTGCACCACTTTGTAACGTTGGGCATTAATAAAATACATACATAGAAAAGTGGTTTAGGAGAATATTTTTGTTCAGGAAAAAAGGCCCTAAAAAATAAAACTTTGTGTTGAAATGCTGTCAGTCTGTCACAACCTCAGAATATTTTTGCACTGATGTTGTTTTCATGTAAAACCACCAAGTCCATCACTTCTCACATTTGGGATACAGTTGCGCAGCGACATCTCTCCCAGCCTCATCTGGTCCTCGACATATCACCCAGAGAGCCATGCTCATTGTCAAGCAGACACACACTCGCCAAAGTCACGACCAGCATCATTTCCCAACAGAGTTTCTAAAGTCACTGCCCTTCAAACTATCTGCGCCAACATTAATCCATCATCAGAATGCATATTTCATACAACAATATACAACTACTTACTGAATAGGATGAAAGACAAAGGAAGAAAATGAAATATAAAATGTTTTGCTTTGTAAAAGCATCTCACTTTTTTCGGGAAACATTTCAGTGTTATACTATCAAAAGGAACAGGACATAAAGATTTATAATGCTATCTTTGAGATATTGAATATCACATTCCTAATGAGGAATTGCTTAAAAAAACACTTTTTTCTGGTTCTTGTTGGAAATAAACAAAACATTAAAACTCATTTATGTAAAGCTGAGATCTTAAGCATCAAATTGCTGCTAGTCAGAATAATAATAAGACATCATTATTCAAGCTTGCATTTTTCAGGAAGTGCATGCAAATGTCTTGTTAACTTCTTATATTTAAATGTATCCAACCAATGATTTGCACTTATTTCAAAATTCTTGTTTAAATGCTTTTCATTTTTTTGTTGATGTTTTGCTTTTCCTTTTCTATGTTTAAGTAATCAACTGGAAGTCATTGGATGAGGGTTCCCCCTTGATGGTCACTCCAATACACTTTGATGTAAACAAATCCATATCTAATGAGATGCTCCAATCAACTTAAGAGAGCTGGGTTATGACGTCATATTGACTTCCTTATGAAGTACGTGGGTCCCACTTAGTGAATGGACATATTCCCTGTTATGCAGTAGTATCTGTGAAAGCATGCAGGACATGGAATTGATTAGACTTTGAAGTTGAATTTCACAAACTTCAGCCACACTCAGGATATTGATCAAAGGGCTTTTTGAAGAGCATGTTTCGGTTGAGTTCATCTAGATTAGGTGCTGCATTTTATAGCTCCAGCTAAGAATTAATGATCTCTTTATAAGGAGCTGGATCATAGTGTAAATGATGAATGCGATGTTTCAACCTGCGCCACGTATAAATGGGAACATTAATTATCTTCCAAAAGTGTATGAATGAACTAATTACAATGATGCTTATAGGGATTCTGCAATTTATTTAATTGTTTACTTTATTATTTGCCCCTTTTGTTTGTTTGTTCACTATGTAAAGTGGCCTTGGGTCCCTTGAAAGGCGCTATACAAATGTCATCTATTATTATTATTATTATTATACACATTCCTTTGTTTCTATTTTTTGTTTGTTACTGAATGTCATTTTTGAAATTGGCCTTATTATGCTGATTTCCGTTTCCATGCTTTAGTGTTCAAAAAGGGCTTTTTCTTTCTCACACTGCTGCAGCACCTCTTTCAGCTCTGTAGTGATTAGTCAACCCCTTCACAGTGAAATACTTAAGAATCAAGTCAAAAGGGAAGCACCCCCTTCTGTCTAGTGGAGAGGATGGAGAACAAGGACAGATGATACTCCCCTTTTTTGTATTCGTTCTCTCAGGACGTACAATCCTCAATGAGAGGGACGTGTGATCCAGGCCTTCAATCAGTACCCAATTGACCTTTCCCTCATCCTAACTTGAGCATGAGGATGTAAGGACATACTAATATCATGCACTGATTAATGAGGCCAACCTCTGAATCCAAGACACAAATAGCTTTGCTTTCAGGTTCTCGTCTGGTGAAGAGCTGCAGCCTTGATTTCCCTCCTGTCCTCAGCAGCACATGTGACCTCCCCTCTACATTTGAGATACATTGGATTAGAGTTGCTTGTTCCCTCTTGTGCACTTGAGAATAATCACCTTGCGGGTGAACGCCCACCGCATGAAAAAGGCTTGCTTTAATTGAATAGCCTTCTCCTACAAAGCTGAGAGAGACATTTAGATTATTGTACACCTGAACCTCTTTCCCAAACGGAGCGAGGTTATTGCTTCTCGCAGCTTATTGCTTTCCCTTTTATTGTTTGTCCCAGCGCCTCTTCAATTACAGTCCTGGAATGAATAACTTTGTGATAAATGATAACCTGGTCAGGCTGGCCGTTGTTGTTGTTGTGGAACTACTATTGGTGTCCGCGCTTTGGATGTGACAACTCACTATTGTTTTATTGAAGTTATCAGTCTTCCATCAAGTCCACCGAGGCTAACCACACATTGATTTTACAGTTTGTCACATGTTCTCATATTTTTCAAACCTATACATCTCTGCCTCTCTTTCTGTGTCTGTCTCTCTCTTTGATGATGGGGGTATTTCTATTCTGTGGGGGCTGTGAGCTCAGCGAGTTTGTTTCTGTGTCCATAATCCCCTCTCTCTGGGCGCCAGCATATAAAAGCCACGAGGGGCCTGGAGCAACACACAGACCACCAGTCTCAGCCCCGAATCTACTCTTTTACGCACACACTGCCACAGGTAAGACAGTGGACACACATCATACAGAGAGCAGCAGAGACAAAAGGGAGGTAGAGGGTTACAATTACGTTTGACCTAGTAATGACAAAAGTATTTAGTAGTTTGAGCTCGTGATTTGAGAGTCCAACATTGCTTATATATAGTATGCTAAAACTAATGCTTGTGGAACCCAAAATAGAACTTTAAAAATGAAGTTGGTCCTACAAATGCAGAACTTTTTTAAATGTAATTTCAAAACTAAAAAGAAAGTTGTATTTTATGCTATTTGTATGCTATATGCTCATGTTAAAAGGGATCACTAGGTTTGTATTTATCATAGCAACGCCTGCTATTGCCTACAGTTCTATTTTGGACATGTTTGTTGTTTTATTCTAGAAATGTGTAAAGAAGAAAGGGTGAGAAGGTAGTAGTCTCTATGGTCTGAATTATGCTTTGTTAGAGATTGTATGAACGTTTCTGTGGGTGGGGTGGTTGGCTCTGAAAAGGGGTAGGGTTATTTGTTTGATTATTTTCCTAAACCTATGATACTCTTAATCTTTAAACATAGAATCATGTCATCTTTACTTTA